GTACCATAATTGCTCTTTTCAGAATAATTAATTGCCTATTATTACACTACAGAATCTCTTTGAGACCAGGGACAAGTTCTTTGGTTTTTCTAGGAGTTAGAAGGTGCAGATAATTCTGTTCTTGTTTGATCATGAGAATAAAGGGCATGCTGCAGCTGGGCTCCTGCTGATCCACATGGCAAAGGAAGCTATTAAAGTAGGTGTTAAAAGGTCTTACTTCAGGTAGGTAGCACAGATGTCTACACTCAAGGAGAGCATCACGTGATCATAACAGTGCTTTGACTTGCTCTTCATGGCTTTGAGGCCACTGTTTGGCCTGGAAGTCAGGGTACAAGGGCACCAATCCTGCCCTCTGGCCAGGTGTCTATTATGCACCAGCAAGAATCACAGAGTCAGGTTTGGGTTGCTTGTCCAGGCTGCAGATGGATCAGGAAGAGATCTGAGGGAACCATACAGAGGATGCAAGAGAGACTTTTAGGCCAGATTTGAAATGAACAACCTGAGTCCTGTCCCATCCAGGAGGCTGGGGCCAGGGCTTCCCAAGCCTGCTTTATTCAGCTCAATGTTTGGCTCCCAAATTTTCTGTGGTATACAGAAGGTTGGGAGAGCTATAGTAACAGAGGGGTCCCGGGTGGGGGAGAGGAGAGGCCCCCCTCTCAGCTTCAGAGATGACGTAAATTCTGAGAGGGAGCTAGGACAAGAAGCTGTGGACTACCTGTGCCTAGATGTAATGTTGGTATGGAGGGTGAAGGGGAGGACATAGCTTGAGAAGGGGGAAGTTCCGAGCACGGGGGTGGGACGAGTGGACCCAGTGATCCCCTGAGGTGACAGGAGCCTGGAGGGCCAGAGCTATCATGCCACACCGGCTGGTTTTGAAGTAATTCTGTGTGGGAAATGCCACTACAGGATGCATTCCTCCAGCAAATAATCGCGTGCCCAATTGATGCTGGCCATGTGCTCATAGGAACATAGACATTGTCTTTGTCTTAGAGTTGAGAATTCCTTTAATATTCAAATTATCAAATAAATTTATCATCGCAAAATGTGTTAAGGGCCCTGAAAGATAAGTGAGGTCTGAGGGGGATCCACCATTATCTGTGAGAGTCCAGCCCAGGAAATCCACCCAGAAGCAATAATGTGAGCTGAAATCTGAAGTAGAGATGGGAGAGAAGGGAGAAAGAACCATGCATACAAAGGCCTGGAGGTAGGAGCAAATGCCTGACCAGCAGGAAGCAAGGGGAGAATGCAGCAGTAGGGGCTGAAGCCAGAGAGGGGCCTGGGGTAGATTCTGCCAGGCCTGGAAGACCACATGAAGGGTCCTGTGCTTTGCTCCAAGAGCAGAGAGACACTACTCACAGGTTTTCAGCTGAGTTGCTGGGGCCAGGGACCCTGTGCTACCCCAGTCAGCTCATCCCTAAACACTGCGGCAGACTGGCAGGGCACCCCCAGAGTGACTTTGTGTAGTATTTATTTTCATCCCAAATACTGCACTCAGGAGACACCTTCAGGTCATTTCTCTTTGGGCCCTGGCTAGCACTCAGGTTTGATGTATGAGTGTGGAAGCCCAAGAATCTGAAGAAAAAACAGAGATGCACTGCCATCGAGTTGGATCTGACTCGCTGCGACCCCTCCCTGGGTTTCCGAGGCAGTATCACTATGGAAGTAGATTGCCCAGCCTTCCTTGTGAGGAGTGGCTGGTGGGTTTGAACAGCCAGCCTTCTGGTGAGCAGTCAAATGCCTTAGGCACTACGCCACCAGAGAAGGTCAAATTAACTGTTCATCCTGACGAGGCCCAGGAAGTGGCTTCAGCTTTCAGCTGCGCCCTCCCTGTGTTGGCAGCAGCAACCAGACATGAGGTCAAGGTATTAGGAGGGAGAGGCTTTATCCCTGAGATGTGGTCAGTGTATTAATGGACAGGTGTGGACTATCTTAGAATTTGGTCAAGGTATAGAGTGCATTTCCAGCTCTCCCTTGAGAGTGATACTGCCTCCGGATTACCTCTGGACTTCCTCTGCTGTTCTGGAAAAAAAGACTGATTTCTTATCTAGTTGCTTCAAAAAAAAAAAAAAAAAAAAAACCAAACCCACTGCCGTGGAGTCGGATCTGACTCATAATGACCCCTCCTTGGATTTCCAAGGTGGTATCACTATGGAAGTAGATTGTCCAACCTTCCTTCTGAGGAGTGGCTGGTGGGTTTGAACCTCCAGCCTTCTGGTTAGCAGTCAAGTACCTTAGACACTATGCCACCAGAACTCCCTGCTTCATACAAGGGACCTGCAAATGTATATGAATCAGAGAAATGTACTTGCTGAGGTTATAGTCACACCTTCCCTAAACCTCTAAGAGCTTGGCATGATTATTCAGTCAAGTCTGGTATTACCAGGTGCCCGATGTGTGCTCATGCCATTGACATGCATCGTTACTGTGGGATGTTCATTCCTTCAACCAATCAATACTGCTGAAGAGCCTTCAGTGTGCCCAGGGCTCTGCTATAAGGAGGTATTTAAGAATGAACCCAGTTCTCAAGGCTCATATAGGCTGATCATGAGTTATTAAACAGAAGCTCATGGATTAGATGACCCAATTATTATTCTCCAATTGTATTCTATAGTTGTTACCAGCACTTCATTGATAAAGGAGTTTGTGGTCAAATAAATTGGAAGATGCTTAATAGTATATGCCCTTTGATCTGGTTATCTAGTGCTGTGTAACAAACTACCACAAAAATCAGTGACTTAAAACAGTTTATTGTCTTTCACAGTGTTTTGTGTTGACTGGGCTTGGCTGGCCAGTTCTCACTTGGGGTCTCTCACACAATTATTTACGCTCATCTCTATAGTTGCTGTAAGATGGCAGCTGGACTCATCTGAAGGCTTCTTCCTTTACATGTCTCTGTGCCTGCATTGGTTGGGCATTTCTTTCTTCACATGGTCTCTCCACAGGGCTAGCTTGGTCTTCCTCATGGTATGGTGGTCACAGAATTGCTAGACCGCTTACATAGTGGCTGGTTTCCCCAGAGTGAAAATCTAGGAGGAAGCTACAAGGGTTCTTACCACTTAGCTGAGAAATCCCAGAACATCACTTCAACAGCATTTTATTGGTCAAGAATAACTGAGTCCAGTCCAGATTCAAGGGGAGGAAATTAGATGATTTCCAATGAGAGCAGTATCAAATAATTCAGTATATCTCATAGATACATAGCACATAAGAATGTATCAAAGGTGTCTCAGAGTCCTGTAGTAAAGAAACCCGTGTAACCCAGCACTCCTCAAACTGGTTATTGCTGGTTTTGTTTTGTTTAAATCATTAAATCCCTGTATTACAGAAAATCACATTACTTGTATGCTGCCAGAAAGCAGTGGGTGGAAATTTCAGAGGGATAGATTTGCATTCAGTAGTACTTTCAATCCATGCAAAAGTTGGGCAATGAATAAGGAAGACTGAAGAAGACTTGATGCTTTTGTATTATGGCTTTTGGTGAAAAATATTGAATATACCTTGGATTGTCAGAAGAACAAACAAATCTGTCTTGGAAGAAGTATAGCCAAAGTGCTCTTTAGAAGCAAGGATGGCAAGACTTCGTCTCACGAACTTTCAACATGTTGTCAGGAGAGACCAGTCACTGGCTAAGAACATCATGCTTGGTAGAGGGTCAGTGAAAAAGAGAGGAAGACCCTCAATGTGATGGATTGACACAGTGGCTGCAATAACAGGAAACAGCAACGATCGTGAGGATGGCTGAGAACTGGGCAGTGTTTCATTCTGTTGTACACAGGAGTGCTATGAGTTGGAACTGACTCGACACCACCCAACAACAACTACTTTCACACAAATAAATCTTCCTCAAAGAAAAAAAAAATATGATACTGATAATGAGTTCCTCATCTGGAGAAGTACCCAAATACAGGTCACATGGACAAAGAGGCAAAATGCCCTGGTGGTTAACGCTTTGACTTTTGTCTCTAACAGATCTAGGTTTAAATTCAGCCTCCACCATTTACTAGCTATGTAACACTGAGCAAATTACCTTTCCCTAGGTTTCTGTTTCTTTGTCTACAAAACAGTTCCTATTTCATAGAGCTGTTGTGAGCATTAGTGAGATCGTGCATGTGAATTACTTAGCACAGTTAATTAGCATGTTTGGTCAATGTCGGATACTATCATAGTTCTTATCATGTAGAGAGGAGGCCTTCCTTGTTAGATTGGCTGATTGCCCAGTTCCCTTCCATCTCTGCTGCTGCTCTTGTCATTGTTAGGTGCCTTTGAGTCAGCTCTGACTCATAGTGACGCTCTGTGCAACAGGATGAAACACTGCCCAGTCCTGCACCGTCCTCACAATCCTTGTCATGCTGAGGCCCGTCATTGCAGCCGCTGTGTCAGTCCATTGTACTGAGAGTCTTCCCCTTTGTCACTGACTTTACCAAGCATGATATATCCTTCTCCAGGGAGTAGTCCCTCTGACAACCTGACCAAAGTGGTAAGATGAAGTTTGGCCGTTCTTGCTACTCAGGAGCATTCCAGCTGCAGTTCTTCCAGGACAGATGTATTCATTCTTCTGGCAGTCCATGCTACTTTCAGTATTCTTCACCAACATCACAATGCAAAGGAATCAATTCTTCTTTGGTCTTCCTTATTCATTGTCCAGCTTTCACATGTATACGAGGCAATCGAAAATACCATGGTTTGGGTTAGATGCACCTTAGTCTTCAAAGTAACATCTTTGCTCTTTTACACTATAGGAAGGTGTTTTGCAGCAGATTTGCCCAATGCAATATGACATCTGATTTATTGACTGCTGCTCATGGATTTGATTGTGGATCCAAGTAAAATAAAATCTTTGACAACTTCAATCTTTTCTCCATTTATTGTGACCCCTAGGGTCTTATAACTTTGGATCTATTCAAGACTTGCTTTCTGAAGACAAGCCAGTATTGCCTGTCATGGACTCTTACTTTTCTTGCAAATGTAACCTTTATCCCTTTCACTTTTTCCCAACCTAGTTCCTAATAAGTGACCGTGACCCTCAGTGCAACCTTCACTGCTCCCGGACTCAACCCAAACCCATCTGTGCCTCTGATGGCAGGTCCTATGAGTCCATGTGTGAGTACCAGCGAGCCAAGTGCCGAGACCCAGCTCTGGGTGTGGTCCACCGAGGTAGATGCAAAGGTGAGTGCATACCCTTCCGCCCCCCCCCCCAGAAGAGGCTGCCGGGCACCCAGCTTCCCACTCTGTGCACTCCCCAGGGGACCTCAGAATGAGTCTGTCCATTTGGCTTGCTATTCTATCCCTCCACTTCTTCCATCAGGGAATAAGGAAAGGAGAATTGGTCTGCCTGAAGGAATGAGTACTTTGGCCCACTGCCACCAGGTTAGGGCTTCAAGACTTGTGCTGCTATCTACCTAGTGACTTTTGGGTGACAAAGCATTGTTGCTGATTGCTGAATAGCAATCCCAAAATGTTGGCCAACAGCTGTGTTTTATTTGGTCTGCTCACATGTTTAAAAACAATAAAAATAGTTGAGGCAGCATTTAAAAATTGAGAAATTAATTATAAAAATTTATTTTTTTTTGTGCTTCACTTGAAAAATGGGAAATTCTGGTAATTTTAGGTCTGTGTTCCTGAAAAATGGCAAATGACTACAGCTGAGTGTTAGCCACCCCCTTTAGCAGGAAATGTATTCTTCAGTTGCCCGTAGTCTGTAGCGCTCCTTAAGGCCGTTCAGAATGGAATGCCATTCTTCCCATACCCAGCCCACTTCTCCAATGTGTAGGATCTTTCTGAACCTTGGAAATGTTTAAGTTTATGACCTGGATTGCTTAGAGCTGTCACAGGAATTGTGGGAAACTAAGTAGGCTGCCCTAGAGCATTTGATTTTTCAAAGAAAGTGCTTGCAATTATTGAACTATAAAACATCTTTGGTACCTCAGGAGCTTACTAGGTTTTTTTTTTTTTTTCTTTAAAATAAGTCCAGTGAAAAATTATGGAAGTGGAATGTTTCTTTTCCCTGGTTGGGGGTAGGAGTACCTGGGGGAAAAAAAAGAGTGGGCAAAGCCTGGTATAAATATGAAACACACACACACACACACACACACACGCTTTTTTTTCCCAAGACAACCTTTCAGAGGGATAGGAGACTGAGCGTCAGTTAGAAAGGCCCGTGGATCGCATGTGGGCTCAGCACAGGTGGAGTGGTTTCTCTCAGCATTCCTAGAACTGGGCAGCCATTTTGTCGTATGGCTCCAGTGTGGAATCCAAGAGAAATATGAAATATGCTCCTTTCCCCTTTTAGATGCTGGCCAGAGCAAGTGTCGCCTGGAGCGGGCTCAAGCCCTGGAGCAAGCCAAGAAGCCCCAGGAGGCTGTGTTTGTGCCGGAGTGTGGTGAGGACGGCTCCTTTACCCAGGTGAGGCCTTGGCCAGTCCCCTCAGGGTCGGTTCTTGGACTGAGGCATAGGAGAGGTGTCCCAAGTGTATGAGGGCTGCTTCACTTTCTGGGAAACGGCTGAGCAAGTGGCTCTTCAGCAACCTTCTATGCTACCTTGTGGTGCCTGCCTCCCTCCTTCCCGGCCCTCCGTGGCAACCCTTGCCAACTGGCAGAGGGGCCTACAAAGACGCATATAACTCCAAGCCAGGAAACTGGCATGGCTTGTCCCCGTCCTCCCTGCTGGCTGTCTCCTCTGAGAGCGAGACCTGCATTTTTCTCTTCTTAAATGCAGGCTGATTGTTTTTTTCTTATCCTTGCCAGTCTCCAGGGGCAACCCCGTTATTCCCTTTGTTGTTTATCACTACCCCCTCTGTACTTCCCTCCTTTCTGCCCGTAGTCCTTAACAAAGCAGTGCTGTTTTTGAGTACAACTTGTACCATGATTCTTGGAGTGTGTGTATGTGTATGTGCACCTCTGTGTGTGTACATGTGTATGTGCATGCATGTATGTATGGGTGTACATGTATATACATACATGTGCTTGTCTGTGTATATGCACATATATATGCATGCTCTCAGATTTTAAAATTTCTTTACAGGCAGCCCCATCTTTTTTGTCTTCAGGATCTTCTGGTTGGTTAATGCTTTGTGTAAAAGTAATGCTGATAATGTTGATGTTGGCACAGATCATTTCTAAAACACAGGTAGCAGTGGGACAATAAGGTGCATTTAGTAATTTTAAGGTGCTTCCTCCTACATTAGCGATGTGTGGCTAGAGGTGAGGGTGTAACTTGGAGATGGAGGCTTACTCTAGAGCTGGGAAGGTGTGCTGGCTGGATGAAGGGTCTATCTTGATGCAAATAGAGAAGGTCACTAGATGAGAATGAGTTTAGCTAAGTGGTTGGGGATGGTTCTGGTGCCAGCTCCCTTTGTGGACTGGGTAGAGTTGTGCTTGGGGGAATCCCATTATCTTAGAGCTGGAGGCAGAGCTTCAGAGTTGTTTTTTTTTTTAATTGTGATTTGGGTGAAAATTTACAGAGCAAATTCACTTTCCATACAGCAGTTCACATACACTTTGTCTCATGACATTGACCACAATTTACCACAGTGCAACAGAGCTTCAGAGTTTTAAAGCTTCTCTGTAAGTCAGAATCAATGAGCCAAAAGATAAGACTAGCCTTGGTCAGATGGCTTTCAGATTTTATTTCTGCGCTAGTCCAAGGAGATTGTTGATTTTCTGCTGATTGCACATTGGGGCAGAAATGTGGAAGCATGGTAGAGTGGGGAATGAGTGTCTCAGTTTTAAAAACTTTCCCAGCTGATTCAAATGTACAACAAGGACTGAGATCCACTGAGTGAAACTAATCTTGGCTGCTGATTCTGTGAGAGGTGCATTTTATTCATTCTCTCACTGAACCTTCAACATAAGCCTTGGAGGTAGGTGTTAGTATATCCCTTTTATAGATGATGGGACAATAGCAGTTCATTGAGTGACCAAGCTGGGATGCAGAGCTAGATCCATCTAACTCCAAAGTCCTCCCAAGTCCTGCATACTCTGCCGCTCTCTGAAGTGGCAGGTTTAAAGGAGGCTCTAAAGTGAAGTGCAGCCTGGAAGAAGACAGTGGTGTGGTTGTCATTTTGTGGGTCTTGGAGCCAGACTGCCTGAACACGAATCCGAGCCCCACCACCTTGGACAAGTCACTGGACTTTTCTGGTTCTCGGTTTCCTTATCTGAAAAATGAAGATAGTAATAGCTTGCCTCATAAGGTTGGGGTGAGGATTAAAGGAGTTGACAACATGCAAAACACCTTGAACAATGCCTGATTTGCATAAATGCTGTATACATATTGTCATTATCATGACCATTACTCTGCTGTTGTTCTAGAACTCTCCTCTTTCTAAGATTTTATGGATGATGCCATTTAAAGAAGAGCCCTGGTGGCACAATGGTTAAAGCACTCTACTGTTAACCAGAAGGTCAGAGGTTCAAACTCACTAGCCACTGTTCAGGAGAAAGATGAATTTGCTACCATAAAGATTTGCGGCTTTGGAAACCCTTTGGGGAGAGTTCTACTCTGTCCTGTAGGGTTGCTATGAGTTAGAATCGACTTGGTGGCAGTGGGTTTGGTGGGCCACTTAAGGAAAAATATGCCTTTTTCTTTTCTTTCTTTCTTTTTTTTTTATTGTTCTGTATACATAAAACCACTGCCACTGAGTCGGATCCGAGTCATAACGACCCCTCCTTGGGTTTCTGAGGCGGTATCACTATGGAAATAGATTGCCCAACCTTCCTTCTGAGGAGTGGCTGGTGAGTTTGAACCACCAGCCTTCTGGTTAGCAGTCAAATGCCTTAGGCACTATGCCACCAGAGCTTCCTCCATATACATACACATATATATTGTTGTTGTTGTTGTTGTTATGTGCCGTTGAGTCAGACCTGGGTCATAGCAACCCCTCCTTGGGTTTCCGAGGCAGTATCACTACAGAAGTAGATTGCCCAACCTTCTTTATCACACACACACACACACACACACACATATGCACACACACACACACACATATATATATGTAGAGAGAGAGAGAGAGCTCTCATGGCACAGTAGTTAAAGCATTCGGCTGCTAACCAAAATATTGATAGTTTGAATCCACCAGCTGCTCCACAGGAGAAAGATGAGGCCATTTGCTTCCGTAAAGATTTATAGCTTTGGAAACCCTATGGGGCTCACTGTAAGTCAGAACCAATGTGATGGTAGTGGGGTTTAAAAACACAGAGTATAACAAGAATTTACGAATTCAACATTTTTCACATGTACACTTTAGTCAATTACATTCATCATGTTGTGCAGTGAAATAAATGCCTTTGTTGAAACTTCCCAAGTTTGAAAATTGATAAGCTCTCTGTTTATTATTTGCTCTAGTCAAAGGAGTGCAGTTGATCTTTGTATATCTACTTGAACCCACACTTCTGAGAATTCCAGAATGGGGGAAGAAAATAGGACCTCCGTGGACTTAGTTTGGGGCTGAGATGGGGGTAAAGGAACTGGAGAGGAGGGCAGAGTCTCTGGCAGTCATTTTGTCCTTCCTTGAGGCATATGTAATCCTGGATGTGCTGCTTATGAGAATTGTTGACCCCTGCCCTCCCGATTCTGAAGTGTTTGCTGCCTTGTGGCACATAGCTTTTGTTTCATCCAAGCAAGCCCAGGCCAGGTGTTGTTTGCTGGGGAAAGGAACTTCCAGATTAGTCCAGGCTGAATTGCTCAATGAGAGGGGCCCTGGAAGTTCACAAAGGTTGTATAGACAGTCAAGGACAGCCTTGTTTGTTTGACATTCTAAGCACTGCCATGTGTCTGAAGGCTTGATGCAGGCTCATCACGGTGGGCAGCTGGACGGCCAGAGCCCAGGCCCATCTCATTTAAAGTGATTGAAATGGATGTGCCTTTTCCCTTGATCAAAGACACTGCAATAACTTCACAAACTGAGGCTGCCTCTTTGAGTGTGCCTCAGTCTCACTGACAGGCTGCCAAGCCACTAGGAGACAAATGCTTTCCTCCCTCCCCCAGCCACCACCATCAGTTAGCTGAGCTTCTTCTTCTTTTTTTTTTTTTTAAAAAAGATCAAAACCCAGAGACAAGCTAGGCTGTTTTATTATCCTTTAGAATATTGACATACACACATCCTTGTGTTAATAATATATTTTAGTCCTGTAAATTATTTCCCAGTAACACTCTCTTGAAGTTTATGGAGGGAGTGATGGGATCTTAATGCGATTGGATTTGTCTGGGATGGGACACAGCTTGGGACCACATGACTTGGCTCTAATGGGGTGCATGTGGGACTCAATGATGTCTGTTTTCTTCCTTTGTTTTCCTTTGTCCTCTTCCCTCCCAACCCCATCATGTATGGATGATGCCACTTAAAGAAGTGAAAAAAAAAAAAAAAAAAAAACCTCTTTGTTGAAACTCTCCAAGTTTGAAAATTGATAAGCTCTCTGTTTATTAGTTTCTCTAGTAAAAAAAAATGCAGGCAGTCTTTGTATATATTTGAAACTATGCTTTTGAGAGTTTGTGTGTGGAAGAAGAATATCAAACCTGGTGGCAAAATGGTGAAGTGGTCACCTGCTAACCGCAATGCTGGCGGCTGGACTCACGCAGCAGCTCCGGGGGAGAAAGGCCTCATGATCTGCTTCTGTAAAGATTACAGCCTGGAGAGCCCTAGGGGGCAGTTCTGTTCTGTCGCATAGGTCACTATGAGTCAGACTCGACTTGATGGCACCCAACAACAACTTACTTTCATTTGGAGTTGAGACAAGGGTAAAGGTAATAGGGAGGAGGCCAAAGTCTATGGCAATCCCACCCCAACCCACATGGAAGAATGTGTCTCTTCTTCCTTGTGAAACAGTGATTCTAAGGCTGTACATTAGATAACATTAGATTTTTTATTTTAAATCTTGATACCCAGGCCACCGTCCAGACTATTTAATCAAATTCTGGGAATAGGACCCAGGCATCATATAGGTTAAGGCTCCTAGGTGAATTCTGAAGTTTGGTTAAAGTTGTGAACCGATTGAAAGGGCTTCATCATTCATGTTTCTTGATTACATCACTAGAATGTGGTATTGAGGCTCTTGGGTGACCTGTTGTGGAAGCTCAGGCAACATGGGTTTTGCTTTTTGTTGTGGTCTGTTTTTCCTTCTGAGTATCAATACATGGTGACATCAGTTTCACCAAGGCTTCTGTCAAGCAGTTGTCTAGTGCCTAGGCTGAGTAACTGAAGTCTCAGCCACAATGGAAATGTTGGATGTCACCACCAGGAAATGTGGGCTGGAGCTTGCCAAAAGCATGCATCACTGAGTAATGATGGCTACCTTTACTTGACTGCTAACCAGAAGGCTGGTGGTTCAAACCCACCAGCCACTCCTCAGAAGGAAGATGGGGCAATCTACTTCCGTAGTGATACCGCCTCGGAAACCCAAGGAGGGGTC